GCCTCCTGGGTTCAGGCAATTCTCCTGCCTCAGCCTCCTGAGTAGCTGGGATTACAGGCATGCGCCACCATGCCCAGCTAATTTTTTGTATTTTTTTAGTAGAGACGGGGTTTCACCATGTTGGCCAGTATGGTCTCGATCTCTTGACCTCGTGATCCACCCGCCTCGGCCTCCCAAAGTGCTGGGATTACAGGCTTGAGCCACCGCGCCCGGCGCAATATTTTTTTTAAAGTAAAACTCTTTTTTTTAAAAAGGACATGTATCTATCAAACAAATGAGAATTTTGCCTACTAACAAGACAGCTGATAATATTAGAAAAGTATATTACTTTTAAAATCATAATAATGGCATTGTAGTTGTGTTTAAAATTAGTAAATTATCTTTTAGAAATATGTACTGAAATATTTGTGGATGAAATACTGTGATCTCTGGAATTTGCCTGAAAATCATCCAGAGTAGAGGAGAGGAAATGATCAGGGTTAGAAATGAAACAAAATTGGTTATGACATACATATAAGGGTTCATCATATTATCCTACTTCTGTATATGTTTTAAATGTTCTATAACAAAAAATTTTAAATTCAAATAAAACAAAACCATACTGACAGGAATTGTGGAAAGATATACAACAAATCACTAACAGTGGTTACTCAGGGAAACAGGATTACTAATTTTTGTTCTTCTTTTTGCTTGTCAGTATATTACTAATTTTATTACAATGAGCATGAATCATGTATATACTTAAAATTACTTGTAGAAAATTTTTTTTTCTTTCAACTGTTAGGTTCAGGGGTATATACGCAGGTTTGCTACATGAGTAAATTGCATGTTGCCAAAGTTTAATGTACAAATGATCCCACCATCCAGGTGCTGAGCATAATACCTGATTGGTAGTTTTTCAACCCATGTCTCCCTGGCTCAAGTAGTCCCCAGTATCTTTTGTTCCTGTCTTTGTTTCCACGTATATACAACGTCTAGCTTCCACTTAAAATTGAGAATACTCAGTATTTGGCTTTCTGTTCCTGCATTACTTTGCTTAGGATAATAGCCTCCAGCTGCATCCATATTGCAACAAAGGACATTGTTTCTTTTTTTGGCTACATAGTATTCCATGGTGTGTAGGTACCACATTTGATTTATCCAGTCTTTTGTTGATGGGCATTTGGGTTATTTATCCAGTCTTTTGGTGATGGGCATTTTCTATTGTGAATAGTGCTGCAATGAACATACCAGTGCATGTGTCTTTCAAGTAAAATGATTTATATTCCTTTGGGTACATATTTAGTAGACAGATTGCTGGCTCAGATGATAACTCTAAATTCTTTGAGTAATCTCCACACTGCTGTCCACAGTGGCTGAGCTAATTTATATTCCCACCAGCATTAACTGTTCTCTTTTTTCCCATAACCTCACTGACATCTTTTGTTTTTTGACTTTTTAAGACAAGCCATTCTGACTGGTGTGAGACAATATCTCATGCAGTTTTGATTTGCATTTCTCTAATGATTAGTAATGATGAGCATTTTTTCATGTATTTGTTGGCTGCAGTATGTCTTCTATTGAGAAATGTCTGTTCATGTCCTTTGCTCATTTTTTTAGTGAGGTGTTTTTTTTTTGTTTGTTTGTTTTTTCCTGTTGAATTAAGTTTCTTATAGAGTCTGGATGTTACACTTTTGTCAGATGCATTGTTTGTGAATATCTTCTCCCTCTCTGTAGACTGTCTGTTTACTCTGTTGACAGTTTCTTTTGCTGTGCAGAAGCTCTTTAATTAGGTCCCACTTGTCAATTTTTGTTTTGTTGCAATTGCTTTTGGGAACTTAATAATAAATTCTTTGCCATGCTCACTTCAGCATCACATATACTAAAATTGGAATGATGCAGAGAAGATTAGCATTACCCCTGTGCAAGAATGACATGCAAATTTGTGAAGTGTTCCATATTTTTACATGTCCTGAAACTGATAAGCAACTTCAGCAAAGTCTCAGGATACAAAATCAACGTGCAAAAATCACAAGCATTCCTATTCACCAATAAGAGACTTAAAGAGAGCCAAATCAAGAACAATTGCCATTCACAATTGCTACAAAGAGAATAAAATACCTAGGAATACAACTAACAAAGAATGTAAAGGAACTCTTCAAAGAGAACTACAAACCACTGCTCAACGAAATAAGAGAGGACACAAACAGATGGAGAAACATTCCATGCTAATGGTTAGGAATAATCAATATCGTGAAAATGCCCAAACTGCCCAAAGTAATTTACAGATTCAATGCTATCCCCATCAAGCTACCAATGACTTTCTTCACAGAACTGGAAAAAACCACCTTAAACTTCATATGGAACAAAAAGAGAGCCCATATAGCGAAGTCAATTCTAAGCAAAAAGAACAAAGCTGGAGGCATCACACTACCTGACTTCAAACTATACCACAAGTCTACAGTAATCAAAACAGCATGATACTGGTACCAAAACAGATATAGACCGATGGAACAGAAAAAAGGCCTTGGAGGCAACACCACACATCTACAACCATCTGATCTTTGACAAACCTGACAAAAACAAGCAATGAGGAAAGGATTCCCTGTTTAATAAATGGTGTTGGGAAAACTGGCTAGCCATGTGCAGAGAGCAGAAACTGGACCCCTTCCTGACACCTTACACTAAAATTAACTCCAGATGGATTAAAGACTTAAACATAAGACCTAACACCATAAAAACCCTAGCAGAAAATCTAGGCAAAACCATTCAGGATATAGGCATAGACAAGGACTTCATGACTAAAACACCAAAAGCATTGGCAACCAAAGCCAAAATAGACAAACAGGACCTAATCAAACTCCACATCTTCTGCACGGCAAAAGAAACCGTCATTAGTGTGAATCTGCAACCAACAGAATAGGAAAAAATGTTTGCAGTCTACTCATCTGACAAAGGGCTAATATCCAGAATCTACAAAGAACTAAAACAGATTTACAAGAAAAAAGCCCATTCTAAAGTGAGTGAAGGATATGAACAGACACTTTACAAAAGAAGACATATATGAGGCCAACAAACGTATGAAAAACTGCTCATCATCACTGGTTATTAGAGAAATGCAAATCAAAACTACATTGAGATACCATCTCACGCCAGTTAGAATGGTGATCATTAAAAAATCTGGAGACAACATATGCTGTAGAGGATGTGGAGAAATAGGAACAGTTTTACACTGTTGGTGGGAGTGTAAATTAGTTCAACCATTGTAGAAGACAGTGTGGTGATTCCTCAAGGACCTAGAAATAGAAATTTCATTTGACCCAGCAATCCCATTACTGGGTATATATACAAAGGATTATAAATCGTTCTATTCTAAGGACACATGCACATGAATGTTCACTGCAGCACTGTTTATAATAGCAAAGACTTGGAACCAACCCAAATGCCCAACCCAATGATAGACTGGACGGGGAAAATGTGGCACATATACACCACGGAATACTATGCAGCCATCAAAAACGATGAATTCGTGTCCTTTGTAGGGACATGGATGAACCTGGAAACCATCATTCTCAGCAAACTGACACAAGAGCAGAAAAATCAAACACCGCATGTTCTCACTCATAGGCAGGTGTTGAACAATGAGAACACATGGACACAGGGAGGGGAGCATCACACACTGGGGTCTATGTGAGAGAAATAGGGGAGGGACAACAGTGGGTGGAGTGATGGGGAGGGATAGCATGGGGAGAAATGCCAGATATAGGTGATGGGGAGGAAGGCAGCAAGTCACACTGCCATGTACCTATGCAACAATCTTACATGTTCTTCACATGTACCCCAAAACCTAAAAGGAAATAAAAAATAAATAAAAATAAATAAATAAATAAAATAAATTCTTTGCCAAGGCCAATGTCCAGAATGGTGTTTCCTAGGGTTTTTGTAGTTTTAGGTCCGGAAATTTTAAAAAGAACACATCTCAAAAACAAAAGTTAAAGAAAAACAGAAGTGAAAGTCCAAAATTACCTAAAAATTTTGAGTTAAACTTGTATAGTTTTACATATTTGAAAAGAATATTTCCTGTGGGAAATCACCTATGACATGTAAGTAGTTTCAATAAGTAAAGATAAGTCAGCTGATAAGCTGAAAATGAACCATTCAAGTCACTGTTAAAATAAGCTGATGCAAAACAGGCACAGAGAAATTATAAGAAAATAACCAAGCCTTACGGAGCAAACCTTATTCCCAAATTAGGTGGCATCCATCACATGCGTAGACATAGACAATGAGCCCCACAGACAAATCATTTTCCTTTCTCTCACAATAGAAAGTTCAGACGACTTGGTGAGTCCCACCAAACAGGTGAACAGATAATTTTCAGCTTACCTTTCTGTTTTCTGTTACATGCATTAGAAATACTTGTGAGTGCCTCTTCTTCACAGGCTCTGTTGATGCTGTATGTTACATCTTCTTTACCATGATCAGCTCCTTGTTTCCATTCTATCAGAAGAAAAAGTTTGTAAATCCTGATGCTTTCTGTGCTACAATATTAATTTTCCTTTTTTGGCTTGATTTTAACAAAGAAAACCTACCATAATAAACAGCCTTCCTTACATATAGGGAAATACTCCCCTATATCTAAGTATTCCCATCATGGCATTCTATTTTGTTCTGGAAACAAATATAAAACAGAAAGGGAAAGATGGATGATTCCATCCAAACTTTAATAATGTGGATTTATTTTTTTAGTTCAGGTATTCTAAAAGTAGACATGCTTATTGCTCTATTGGAAGGACAAACATTAAAAGATAAGTATTTACCATCTTCATTCAGAGAGAAATTTTTTACCACTGAATCCTGAGGATCAAAACACTTCGAACTTTGACCAAAGGTGGAATTAAAGTCAAGTGTTAAGGTACTGAAATTATTTTCACTACAATAGTTATTCAAATCCTTGTTAAAGAAAAACTCCCCTTTTCTGATCTGGGACATCAAAGATGTGCAATTCTTGTTGCTCTGTGACTTCGGCTTTGAGGCGTTGTCGGAACTTGTGAGAATAACAGAGTATGTTGCTGTCTCAGGAGAGCTGAGGTGAGAAGTGGATGGGGTTCTTGGAGACATTCTTTGAGGAGGTGAAATGAAGGCATCGACTTCCTCAGAACTTGACCAATGAGAGTCAGGCGTAAGAACGCAAGCAGCAGTCATTTTCCTCAGTATCTCTTCAAAATCCTTCTTGGTGTTGGTCTGTGGGCTATCAAAACTGCTAGATTGGTATTTGATAATCTGCTGAATTGGATTCGAAATTGCTTCTCTCTTGTGGATAGCTCGGATCTTTCTACAAATGCTTTCTACTGGGTTATGCCGCTTCTCAGTTACCTTCCTTGCAGAGGCCATTGTTGACTTTCCCCCAGGTATACGGATAAAGTAGCTAAAGTATAGGCAAAAGGAGATACATATTTAAAAGTCAGCATCTTCCTAACAATAATTTAGTAATAGGCAATTTATTCCCAAATCAGCTTTGGAGGGATCATGATAAGATGTTCAGTTGCTCTAAGCAATTTTCTATGCATTTAGCTTTGGCCCCCAAATTTCAGGAAAATAACAGCTAACATATATAAAGTATTTGTTAAGTGCCAGGCATGATACTAAGCTCTTCATACCCATCAACTCATTTCATCCTCAAAACAACTCTGAGATAAATGTTACTACTTTCTCCATTCTCTGGCAAAAAGAGAATAAGCAACACACCCCAAGTCACCCCAATAAGTGCCACAGCCCAGATTCTAACCCAGGCAGTCCAACTCCAGAGGCTAGATAACTATATTGTTTTTTATTCATAATATAGCAGGTGACAATGATACTAACAAATCTCATTTGAGTACCTACCATTGGTACTGTACTGGTTGTCTTCTATTCAGCATTAACTAAGTATGACCTATATTAGGTGTTTTATGTGTGTTATATCTAAACTTCATATAAACCCTGTCAGTTGTGTGAAAATATCCTTCTTTTAACAGTGACATCTCTAAGATTTGAGTCAAAGAATGTCTGACTCCAGTATAGCTTTATTGCATAGATATATGACCTTAAAAAAGCAGCATAATTTCACTTATGATAGTAACTCAGAAATTTGAAAATACATTCAAAGTTTTGCCTAAACTAGTAAGATTTAAAATAATCTAGGCTGGGTGTGGTGGTGCACATCTGTAGTTCCAGCTATTCAGGAGGTAGGGGTGGAAGGGTCACTTGAGTGTGGGAGCTCCAGTCTGCAGTGAGCCATTAAGGTGTCACCACATGCACTCCAGCCTGGGCAACAGAGGGATGGATGAATGGATAGATAGATTAGATAGATTAGACAGATATTTTTTAAATACTCTAGGCAAAAAGTTGAAATAGTTTGAACAGTTACAAAAAAATAGTTGAACAGATATGCAATTACTGATTTAGAAAACTATGATCTTTTAGGACATTAACAAAAATTTCCAGGAATCTTTTTTAAAAAATCCCCAAATAAAAAATGAAAATAGTACAGCAATTTAAAAAGTACTATAATTGCAAGGGATATCTAGAATTATTGAGAGGAAGATGATACTCAAAATCCTCTGAATCTGACTTGATCTTCCTTCAATATGATAACCACCCGTTCTAGCCAGCATAGTTTCCACCAACAGAATCCTTTACCACTTAGGGTAGTGATCATCTCGCAACCTTACATTGTTTCCTGACAATATCCTTCTTTTCCTCTATTTAAGAATGACCTTTTGGCCAGGCATGATGGCCCAGCTGGTAATCCCAGCACTGTGGGAGGCTAAGGTGGGTGGGTCACCTGAGGTCAGGAGTTCAAGACCAGCCTGGCCAACATGGTGAAGCCCCATCTCTACTAAAAACACAAAAATTAGCCGGGTTGGGTGATGTGTGCCTATAATCCCAGCTACTTGGGAGGCTGAGGCAGGAGAATTGCTTGAACCTGGGAGGCAATGGTTGCAGTGCACTGAGATCATGCCACTGCACTCCAGCCTGGACCACAGAGCAAGACTTCATCTCAAAAAAAAAAGAAGAAGAACAACAACAACGTGAAGCCTAAAACACATTCCTCTCTTGAAATTCTAGAATCAGTTTTTTAACATGGGACTCCATTCCTTCTGATCTCTACTAGGATTTATAATTATAACACACATTTTGTTGTTTAATTAAACGTTGTCTTCTATTCTTGGATTGTTTCCAATGTGTGTGCATGCTGTCCGCTCAAAAATTTAATTCTTGTACTCAAAAACGTGATGTAATTCTTTTCTAGATACTCAATACAGTGTTGTTGGCACAACTGATAATCTACAATTATATATAACTTATATAATTACCAGGCTTATGGACTTATCCCCCAGCTGCTGTGATTGTTGGCTCCCAACTGCTTTCAGGACTAGCTTTTCTGGAGAACTTCCCGCCTTGAATACTTAAGAGCTGCTCAATTGCTCCAGGGGAAGGTAAAATGCAGCAGTAGTAATGACAGAAGAGACTTCACCCTTGAATACAAAGCATTCCAAATCTACAGTTGACTGACTTAGCAGGAACACATCTCACTTCCCTATGTCAAGCAAAGAGCCTTATAAAACAGTAGTTAAGGCAGGGCTTGGTGGTTCACATCTGTAATCCTAGCACTTTGGGAGGCCGAGGCAGGTGGATCATGAGGTCAGGAGTTCAAGACCAGCCTGACCAACATGGTGAAACGCTGACTCTACTAAAAATAAAAAAGTAGGCAGGTGTGGTGGTGCACACCTGTAATCCCAGCTGCTCAGGAGGCTGAGGCAGGAGAATTGCTTGAACCTGGGAGGCGGAGGTTGCAGTAAACCAAGATTGTACCACTGCACTCTAGCCTGGGTGACAGGGTGAGACTGTCTCAAAACAAAACAAAACAAAACAGTAGTTAAGTATCTGTCAGTGTTCTCAATGTGAGTCGGCTGTTTCTTCGTCCTATAGCCAGATAATTGAGGCACAGGTTGGGCATGAGGCTAAAAGAAGCCCCAGAACTGGGACCTCAGGCTCCCAAATCCTGTCTACTCACGTCACTGAACAATGATGTGGTATGCTGTCCAAGCCGCAACAGTCTCACTTTGTAGGCATTTGTAACTGACCTAGATTAATGTTCCTAGCATATAAGACACATGTTTCTACTTGCATTTCCAAGACAGTTTTTCTACTTTTACCATCTGTTTTCATTTTCTTTTTTTGGGTCTTGGTCTGTCACCCAGGTTGGAGTGCAGTGGCACAATCATGCCTCACTGCAACCTCCGACTCCCCAGGCTCAAACAGTCCTCCTACCTAGGCCTCTGGAGCGGCTGGGACCACAGGCATGCACCACCACGCCCAGCTATTTTTTTGTACTTTTAGTGGAGACAGGCTTTCACCATATTGCCCAGGCTTTCTTCTACTGTCTGTTTTTTCAACTGTCCTGACTTGCCTAAGTGAGCCCTGCTTGGTGGGTTGATAAGCTAAACCCTATAAAGGGTGCACTTAAAACAGTGGCTCTTCATGAGCTACCAAAGCCGCACAAGATTAACTTGTTTTGCTTTTTCTAATATAGAGCAGAACATGGGTGGGAGTTTAATAAATAAGGTGGGATGATAAAGATTTCAAAATGTGTGCCATCTTCTCCATATGCAGCTTGGAAATATCGCCTATCTCTTCTGTCTAAACCTCTTAACCTCTTTTTAAATTTTAGATCCTGGTAGAAAGGATTAGCTGCAATCTGCCAAATACAAGCCTAACTTGCTTCATAAAGTAACTGCCTTTGAAAAGGCATTAAGTGAAAATTAGGAACTTAAAGTGAATTGTACTAGGAGAGCCAGTTGGAGTCTTTTAAAAAGGAATTTACTCCTTACTGATCATCCACTACATAAAGATGGTACACTTGTAGAAATTCCAATGCAAGAACTGCTTCTGCTTTCAAGTTCTACCAGCCTCAGTTGCATTTTCCATGCTTGCTTTTTTTTTTTTTTTTTTTTTTTTTTTTTTTTTTTTTTTTTTTTTTTTTTTTTTTTTTTTTTTTTTGCTTTTTTTTTTTTTTTTTTTTTTAATTCTTTTTAATGTTTTAGAGACTGGGTCTGTTGCCCAGGCTGTAGTGCCATGGCTATTCACAGGTGTGATCACAGCACAGCCTCAAACTAGGTTCACGTGATCCTCCTGCCTCAGCCTCCGAAGTAGCTGGGATTACCACACCTGGCTTTGTATAGTTTTAATTAAAATACATTTTTTTAGATGGTGTCTCCCTGTCACCCAGGTTGGAATGCAGTGGCATAATCTCAGCTCACTGCAACCTCCACCTCCCAGGTTCAATTGATAGTCCCACCTCAGCTTCCTGAATAGCTAGGATCACAAGCGTGTGCCACCACACTCAGCTGACTTTTATTTTTGGTAGAGACAGGATTTCACCATGTTGCCCAGGCTGGTCTGGAACTCCTGAGCTAAAGTAATCTACCCACCCCAGCCTCCCAAAGTGCTGGGATTACTGGCAGGAGCCAACACATCTGGTGCATTAAAGTAGTTTTAATATCCATCCCTTTAGGAAGCCAACCAATGTTTATTGAATTCCTGCTAAGTGTTAAGCCCTGTGAAAACACTGGGGATACAACGATGGGGAAAGCAGTATCTGGTCTCCTAAAATTAATTGTCTGTGGAAGATACAGCTATGAACAAGTGAGCCACTAGAGCTGCCAGGTTAAATCCAGGAAGCCCAATGAAATTTTAATCTCAGATAAACAATGACTAATTTTTTAGTGTATGACCCAAACTGTTGCACAATACATAGCTATACTGGAAAAGTATTTGTTTATTTGAAATTCGAATTTCACTAGGTCTCTTGCAGGTTTTTTTTTTTTTAGCTAAATCTGACAACCTGAACAATGTCAAATAAATAATTACATAGTCAGGAGCCATGAGAACCTACAATAGATTATCCCAGTTTGGGAGTGAGGCTAGAAAAAAATTTAGGGACATCTATTATGCGGCTATTTTATGCACTGCACAGAATGTTATACATATTGTTTGCTATTTCTAGGGTTATAAACAGAAAATTAAGAAGTGGGACTATAAATCTGTTATAGGAATTTCCACTTGGATTCATGTAAACTAAATGTAACGTAAAGTGATGTTAGAGATTATCCCATACCGCTTATGTTGCTAATCTTTTTTATTCCTCCTATTGATTGAACTATGCTTCATTACTCTGGCTTATAGATTCTGAGTCCCATTATTATGATTGCCTCAATTTTCTTGTTCTATACAGCCAAAGCTCTTGAATCAACACTGTTCAACCATCTGCCTGATCCAAAACTATAAAGCAACAAGTAAAATCCTCTAACACATGGCAACATCTGTAAAACAAGTCTGATTTGGTTCTT